GGTTTCTGTTCTGTCACGACCTCCATGTTCCACTCCTGCAGCGGGATGGCCTCGTTGGCCTTTTCGAAGTCGGCGTTGGGCAGGAGGAAGCCGTAGTACAGCATCAGCACGGACTTGATGAGCGAGATGATGCCGCTGGCGCACTCGAGGTGGCCGACGTTGGGCTTCGTGGAGCCGATGTACAGCGGCTCGTCGGCGGTGAAGTGGCTGCCGACGGCCTTGTAGATGGCCGTCGCCTCGATCGGGTCGCCCTTTTTTGTCCCGGTGCCGTGGGCCTCGAAGAAGCCGACGTCGCGGGGGCTGATCCTGGCCTGGGCGAAGACGTCGCGGAGCAGCTGCTCCTGCTCGTCGGGGCTGGGCGCGACGATGCCGACGGTGCGGCCGTTGTGGCTGAGGGCCGTGTGCTGGATGACGGCGAAGATGTGGTCGTTGTCGGCCTGGGCCCGGTGCAGCGGCTTCAGGACCACGCAGCCGGCGCCCTCGCCGCGGGCGTAGCCCGACTTGGCGCGGTGGTCGAAGGCGTGCGTCCGGCCCGAGTCGGAGAACAGGCGCAGCATGCCCATCGAGACCCAGATGTCCGGGTGGGTGATGAGGTGCGAGGACCCCACGAGGGCCTGCTCGGACTCGCCGGCGCGGATGCTCTGCACGGCGAGGTGCACGGCGTGCATGCTCGACGAGCAGGCCGTGTCGATGGTGAAGGTCGGGCCGTGCAGGTTGAAGTAGTAGGCCAGCCGGCCGGCGAGGAAGGCGGCCTGGTTGCCGGTGGCGTCGAAGCTCGGGATGTGGTCGAGGTCGCGGAGGTTGCCGACGCGGTGTTCGCCGTAGTTGCCGCCGACGAAGACTCCCACCTTTTTGCCCGAGATGGCATCTTTGGAAATACCGGCGTTTTCGAAGGCCTCGTAGGCGGTCTCGAGGAGTAGCCTCATGGCAGGATCTTTTGTATGGGTCAGTTAATTTGTTTCCCCCTGTTCTGAGCGTCGTTGTCCCACTCACCCATAGACTCGGCCTCTTTCTTGGTCATGTCGAAGAAGGCGGCGTCGAACATGGAGATGTCGCCCTTGATGAAGTAGCCGCCCTCCGAGTTGAAGGTGCCCTTCTTGTCCGGGTTCGGGTGGTTGTAGGCGGCGGCGTTGAAGCGGTCGGCGGGGACCTTGGCCCAGCCGGTGCGCTTCCGGCAGAGCATGCGGTAGAACTCGCTCGGGTTCGACACGTCGCCGGGCAGCCGGCAGGACATGCCGACGATGGCGATGGGCATCGGCTGCTGCTGTTGGTCTGCCATGGTGCACGACCGGTGCATCAAGGAGGGAATATGGCGAGGGGAACCAACAGGCCGGTTTTGTTGTTTGTCGTAAGTCGTTAGGGATTTTTGAGAGCTGGTGGATTTCCTGACTTATAATAGGGACCGGGACTGGTTAGTTGTTTGACCCTGGCGTGCGCGCAAGATTTGAGAGGCCGACTGACCGATGGAGAAGGAGGCGAGTGGTTGTCTTGGTGGCTAACGCGGAGTGCGTTAGTTATGAACACGGTCTTTGGCAGCACAGCTTGTCACAGACGGTGTACGGTATGGATGGGGCATATCGGCTGTGTTTTCTGTCACTGTTCGGGGGGCGTCCAGCCCGTCTGGGGGCTGGCAAACGACAGCGGGACGTGTTGGTTTCCGGGGTTAGCGGCGAAACTGCTCGCCACATCAAGCAGCTAGCGGCCTAGTGTGCTTATTCCGTGATGCCCGTCGATGCTAGCTGCAACGGTCGGGACAGCGGGATGTTCCGATATACCCGCGGGCAGGCTTCAGGTGGGCTTTATACTGTACTCATCCCATCAAGAATCGTTCTTATACCTCCAGGCTCGTTGGGATGATGTAGGACTTTTGCGTCCGGGGTGTCCAGCCAGTTTCAGTCTCCGTACGGGATTTTCATGACTTCCAGGAGGAAGAAGCTTTCCTCGATCTCTCCGATCAAGAAGATGGCTGAGCAACAACACTCATCGGAAGTCCTCGTTCACCTTTCTCTCGGTGGCAAGAGGGTCGCACCTTGTAGCATTCGCGATAGCGGTCAGAATGACGGCCTCCAGGCGTGTTGGATGGTAAGGACACCCGTCACACCGTGATTTTGGAGACGCTCCTTTTTTTGGAGCGCAGAGGACTGCATATCTGCGTCTTCTCCCACATTCTGTATTTCCTGCATTAGATACCACCCAGGAGGCTTAGCCTTGGGCGGCATACCCCAGTCTTCCGCATGTGAATACATGTCGGAAAGGGGGGGTGAAGAAAAGAGTGACCGGGACAAAACATCTCCGTGTCGGTGGCTTCGGTCTCGAAATCCCAACGTCGAGTTAGTAATCTGATTTTTCAAACTCAGCCTCACACTGCAGACCGCCCTAAGAGCAGCCTTTGCCTCCAGAGGTCGGCCTACAGTGAAACTAGCAGTCATTGACATGTTTGACGGCCGTGATAGGTGCGTCATGGTTGCGGGATGTGCAGATGCCACCACGCGCGAAAGGCGTGCATAGCCTCCTGTGTCTGGAAGATGTCACACCCGGAGACAGGTTGACCACAAACAAAAACATCGATGTTTGAGTAGGTATACATAGATGAAAGTGTTTCGACATCTTCACACAAAACGGAATCCCCTTCATCATCACCATTCGCAACCATCGCTTCACTTCGCTCACCCGCTTTTTTACTTTTGGAACAACTGACTTTGTGATATATTTACACACACACACCACTTTCGCTAATTTACCTTTGTCTGTCTCAACCACTCTTTTCAGAACATGAAGTTCCTCTGTCTCCCCGGTGCCTACGGCAGCGCAAAGGTATGTGTGTATAAATATACATGCCCTATCAGTCAGTTATAGAGACAAGTCTACTTTGCTAACAGTTTGTTTACAATAACAAGAACTTTGCCGTACAACTAGGCCCCCTAGCCGACGAGCTGACGCGCCGCGGCCTCGGCACCTTCTCGTACAGCCAGGGCACCTTCGAGGCCGACCCGCCCGCCGGGTGGGAGGACTACTTCGGCTCGCGGCCGCTGTACCGCTTCCTCGACACGCGGCTGGGCGACACGTTCGAAACCCTCAGAAGACTCCGCCACGTGCCGCGCGGCATGTGTCCCGAGGACACGATGCGCATGTTCCAGGGCGCCGGCGAGGGCCGCGAGTGGCACCAGAAGGCGTGGCGCGCCGCGCTCGACGGCGTGTTCCGCAGTATTGATGAGGATCCGGAGGTGGATGCCATCATTGGGTACTCCGAAGGCGCCATGGTCGCGGCGAGTGTGGTCGTCGAGGAGGGCATCCGGGCCGCCCGCACCGGCAGGCCGCGCCGCATCCGGTATGCCGTCTTCATCTCGGGCGCGCCGCCGCTCAAGTTCGAGGGGACCGACAGGATCGTCGCGCAGCTCGCCGACGAGGCCGGGAGGGTTATTGATATTCCTACTTTCCACATCTTTGGCTGCGACGATGCGTTTCTCAGCAGTGCTATTGCGCTGTTCAACGTGTGCGACCCGGCTACGGCGCGTATGTATGACCACGGTCTTGGGCATATCGTCCCCCGCGATGCCGAGAATGTCGGGCTGCTGGGTAATATCTTCGGGGAGGTCATCCCGGAGGTCGAGCGGCAGGCGCGTAGGGAACAGCAACATCGGATCCGACGGGACGATAGCACCAGTGCCGGTAACGCGGCGGCGGCGACGGCGAATAAGAGGGCGAATAGCTGGGCTACTGCTACTACGACTACGGCGGATATCAGTGGTAGCGGTGCGGCCGACTACGTCCCTGCGCTCGTGAGGCAGATCTCGCTGAATGCTGGGCGGCCGCGGATCATCAGGTCGGGCAGCGAGACGGATGAGGGGGATAGGGCGCATGGGCTGGGCAAGGAGAGCATTGACTTTACTACTGGTATGTTTTTTTGGGTTTCGTGGTGAGAAAGGTGACTGACATGATTAGCCATGCTCCGACCTGTCTTCTCATGAAGGCCTTCCTTGGACGGTCCACCGGCGCTGTGTACGATTTTGTCCCGTTGAGTTTACAGTCACAGGACGACGAGGCTAGAAGTCGAGGTTAGCTGCTGCCGGCATAGTAACACCGGGGTTTGGGCGTTGGATTTTTCGTCGTCATGCATGTCGCGAGCTGTCGTTTGTCCGCTTCTTCTCATTCGCTTTCGTGTCTATGGTTGATGATCACCTTTCTGGGGTTTTGCTGGCTTACATATACGCAAGAGCTCTCATGGGCGTTTGCTGGCCGGGTGTGTTATGGTCTTTCGTTTTTGTTTCCCTTTCTAATTGGCTACATCTCTGGGGATTCCTTTTTCTTCTTCACGTTCGTTTCACAAATTGTATTGTGCATCGCGTGGCTGTTCAGGGGTTGGTTCACTTGGCATATGGCGAGGCTCTCGGGTCTTTTGGTCCCTGTTACGTAGGTAGCTGTCTTCTCCGGAGTCGAATACGAAACCATCCGAGTATCTGTTGTCTTGTCTGTGAAGTGAAGCCCCTCATAGATATTGCGGGACACAGAGGCCCATCCAGGGCAGCAACGCTGTCTGCAGGCACCTAGGCCGCTGGTGATGCCTACACCTTCAAGAACTTTGTAGCGTTTTGTTCTCCTTTGTTTACATTCCAGGCTTGAAGCCATCACGATCGGGCATTTACCTAGACAGCCGGATCCAGATCAGGAGACTGAGCTGGATCAACTAACGCAATTGGCACCCTGACTCATGCAACCCTTGAATCGCCTTGTCGTTCCACAGATATAACATAAAACAGTCTGACGACAGGATAAGATTGACACCTCCCTATAGCTTAGGCTACCACATGGAGGTTAGGGACTTCTAGGGAACCTAAATTCCACGACCGCCATCTACGTAGGTGATTTACTCGGCCGATCTCAGGCTTGCCCGGACTGAGCACACACCACATGCAGTGTTTCTATTCCTAGCCATCACATGCTACCATCGCACTGAGAATATAACCCCAAAACGAAGTGCAACTAAATAACAACCAGAAAAATGCGAGGTGGCCGAATGGTTAAAGGCACCGGGTTAGGGATCTCAGAAATGGAAACTTTGACATACAATCTAGCGCTCAACTCTGCGTGTTGAATGCCGGATAATTCCTAGTCCCAGCAATGGGTTCGCGAGTTCGAATCTCGCTCTCGTCATTATCATTTTGTTGACTTGATTTGCATCTTATAGCCGCAAATCTTGGGATGTATTCCTGTTTAATGTTGAACTCAGCTTGTGTATGGCTTGAATATGTATTTACTGCGCCCTTTGCATCTTGCTCTCCAACAACGCCAATCCTACCAGAAACTGGATTCGAGAATTTGACCCCTCCCGAGGAAATATCCTCCAGGTCGACAGCGATATATGCAACGGCGCTGATACCTGCCGGATCCGGACAGAGCCTTGCGGCGGGAACGTTCAGCTCGTCTGCCGGCATCCGCCAATGAGTGGCTGTTTCCCGAGGGAGGGGGCGGCCGAGTGCAACACAAACCGGGGACTCGCCAGGCACGGCGGCACGACATTGGACCGGCTGATTGACACACGGGCAAATTGCAACCACTGTTTCTTTTTAAAGAAATGGGTGTCTCGGTCACGATTCTGCCAACGGTCTTGGACGGAAGGAAGTCCCCGGTCCGGACTACCTACCAAACAATATGCTGGTGCATTCTCCGGGTTGGGCAAGTTCTTCTTTTCACATCCTCTTGACGCAATGGGGGACTACCGTCACGACGGAATGAGCGGACACTCAAGAGACAGCGCCATGTGAGCCATGGACAAGAAAGCCCCAACGGCAAGCGTCTCGACGCTCCAATTCGAACCGGCACCGGCACCGGCCCGGTACGACACGCCCCCCGAAGCCGCCGATGCGCCACACCGCATCCACCTGCAACGATCACCACACCATCCCGAGTCCTTCAGATCCAGGCTAGACCACCGAAGCACAAATGAGAAAAAAAGCGACAACACCACCCAACGGCAAGATGACGACCCCCGAAACACAGACGACAACAAAAAGCACATGCAGCTCTGGCGAAACCTCTCCTCCATCCGGCTTCTCCTCTCATCCTACGCCGCCTGCCTCGTCTTCAGCGTGCTCTACTGCCTCTTCATCTGGCACGTGCTGATCCTCGGCCGCCCGCAGGTCGGCGGCGTGCTCTTCGACGCGTCGACGTCCAATCTGCTGGTCTCCGTATTCTCGCAGGTGTTTGCCCTGCTCGCCGACGCGCTGATCTGCGGTCTGCTGGATGTGCTACGCGCCGCGCTGGCCGGGCGGGAGGGCGGGACGTCGGCGTCGAGCTTCTTTGGCATCAGCGGGGCGACGGGGTGGATGAGCGTGTTCCGGCTCGCGTCGGTGAATGGGTTTAGGGATGTCTGGTGTGATTTCCGGTTGTTGGTGCCGGTTTTGGGCTTGTTGTTTGGGTCTGTTTTGAAGTGTATGACCTTCCGTCCCTCCCCTATTTACTACAACCCCCCCCCCCCCCTTCCCCCTCCCCTATTCCGTATATGTTCTCATTTTGTCTTCTGAAGAGACAAGAGAGACTGTTTTTTTCCAGCACAGCACGCTGATACAACACACAGTCCGGGCCACGTTTGACTACTACTTTCGTCCCGGTTCCGTCTCGACGGCCGTCTACGCCGGCCTCGTGCCCATCGACATCCGACTTCTTCAAAACGTGCGGTCGGCGGACCTATGGATCTACTTCCAATCCTTCACGAGCATCCTACTCGGCCATCCGCGGTACTCAGTACCCTTCTCGCTAGGGTCGTCGTCTTGCGTCGCCGGTGATAGCAACTGCGCAGCACCGTCGTACCTGCTCCCCGGCGGTCTCGAGATGGCCCGACAGGTGTCGCCTCACCTCAACCTGACAGTCTTTCACGGAGGCATTTTTGACGATGCCGACGTGATCAACGTTGACCGCTCGAGAGGCATGGTGCTCAATTTCGAGACGGTACCGCTCGACTATGCGTTTGACTGGCCCAACCAGTGTCTGTATGCCGGCACACAGATCAACGACAGCGTGCAGATCTGCGCAGCACAGGCAGGGGAGTCTGTTATTGCCGGTATGTGATACAGCAACCATCCCACTATGTCCGCTATCCCAAGACCCCAAAAAAAAACCAAAAAAAAAAAAAAAAAGACGCAAACATACCGTGGACAGTTCACTTACATCCCCTTAGGCTGGACCTCCTGCCCGCAGTCCATCTTCGACGCCCACGCCTGCGACACCAACACGTCCTGGAAACACGCCCCAATGCCCTGGACCACAAAAATGACAGCCTTCTTCCAGCCCACAAGCGTGACCTACGACCGCAAGAACGGCTCCATCATCTCAGCCCGCCCCCATCCGATCCCCGTTCCACGCATACCCGTCCCCCTCTCGGCGCCCGACTACCTCACGCTCTACCGTAAAATCCTCGTCTACACAGACGAGGACGACAAAAACAACTGCCAGAAATTCGACCAGTCCTGCTCGCTGGCCACGGCCAAGATCAACTCGATCACGTACGACATCGCCTGGCTGCACCGGACGTACCAGGTCTCGTTCCCCGACCAGGCCGACGCGCCCGTCGCGTACCTGCGCAACTTCCTGGCGGTCCCGCTGCAGTTTGGCGTCGTGGCGGTCGAGTATGCGAATTACACGCAGGACGCGAACCTATTAAAAGCGTTCTTCGGCGGGGACGGGTTGCCCCTCCCCGAGGAGATGAGGACGCTCGCGGTGGGGGGGTCGTCGGCGAGTATGCTGGTCATTCAGGAGTGGACTGGGTGGGCGTTTATCGGCGGCGCCGTGGTCATGTTGATTCTGGTCACGGCGGGGATGGCGTGGGTGCTGGGGCAGCCGGTGCGGGTTATTGGCGGGAGTGGGATCCCGGAGATTGATATACTCCGGTTTGGGGGGGAGGGGGAGGGGACTGGTGTTGGTGGGTTGCCGGGGAGTCGGCTGGAGGATAATGTTTCTGGGTGGAGGTTGGCTGCGGCGTTGAGGGGGTGGGGGGTTGTTAGTGTTAGGGGGGAGAGGATGGGGTTGGTTGCGGTACCGAGGGGGCGGAATGCTGCGTGATGACAGTCAAGGCTGGGGAAAATGTAGGTAATGAAATACAATAATTGATATTCAAGCAAACCAACGGGCTTTTGAGTCCAGACGAACTGTACATCTAGAGCTATCCCAAGATGTACAATTCGCCACGTGAGGCATCACGGGCTCGATAAGTGTGAGCCTGTCCAGAGCTACTAAATTCTCGAGCCTACCTACCTAGGTAACCACTACAAGAGCACATTTACCCGTATCCTGGCCTTCAAGCAGGAGGCAACGCCGCCCGACCAACGCTCCATCCGCTACTGCCCCAGGCGAACTCGGTAAACGCCGTGTTCTTGGTTCCGTTCTGCAGATACACACGCAGGACATCGAGCGGGATAGCGGCCACGCTCGAAGCCGGGATAGACGACTGCGAGAAACCGCCGTCGTACCAGCCGCCGCTGCCGTCCCAGGCCTTCTCCTTGATCAGATCACCGGTGGCACCGTAGTAGAGGCGGATGCCGAGGCTGTTACCTTCTCCCCACGACGTGGCGCCCAATGCGGCCCGCGTCACCTTGTTGGAGAAGTTGAGCCCTCCAGTGTACCAACCATTGCCGTCCCAGCCCTTCTCAAAGATGTTGAGGTTGGCGTCCTGGGCGTAGACACTGGTGACGGTTAGGGTGGTGAATCTAAACACAAGTATCAAAGACATACCGGATATGGATCGAGCTGGTGCCCCAGGAAGTCGCGGCGATCTGGGTACCAGGCAGCGCAGATCCGAGGTTGCTGCCGGCAGACCAGCCTTTGCCATCCGAGTTCCCTGGCGCAAAGTTAATTTTAACCACCAAGACACACACAAATCCAAGGGACACATACAAACCCACTCCTGAATAGTATCATTAGCCAGCTGGGCATACACGCGCAGCACGCTCTTGCCGCCGAGATAAACAGCCGCGACGGATGAATAAGGGGCAACAGAAAAACCAGCCGAGCTGAGGTTGCCGTCGTACCAGCCCGAGCCCGACTCGTACGCCGCCTCGCCCAGCTGGTTCTTGGGTGAGACGTAGTAGACTCGGATGTGCTCGAGGCCGAGCGACGTGGCCGCCACGGGCGTGCCGATCTTGCCCGTGGCGATGACGTTGCGCGCCGTGCCGCCCGTCCACGAGCCCTCGAACTGGGCCTCGCGGATGCCGCCGTCTACGGCTGTCTCGTAGACGCGCAGGTGCGAGTCTTTGCGCACGGCGGCGACGGCGGAGCGGATCTGGATCTCGTTGACTCCCGACATGGTGTTTCTTTTTGGTGGCCTTTTGCGGTGGAGTGATGGAGGATGGTTGCTCTGGAGGGAGTAGGGCTGTCGATGACTGGAGAGAAGCAGACACTGGCTTATATGCTTTCCACCGTTCTGTACGCCCAAGGCCATTCCCGCCCGATTTGGGACTTGTCTTGCTTGTTTTCGCCGGTGAACAACTCTTCCGGGTTCCTACAACCCAGTCAGTCTCGCCATCGCCAGCTCGGATCTCATCATCGATCCCGCTATGCCTCGTGTAAGTCGAACCCCGCAAAGTCTGTTTCGCAAAACTCCGATGCAGCGAGCCACCCGATGCTGTACGACGGGTCTGGGCAGCTCCGATTCGACTGTTTCGACCCGGGAGAAAAACATTCCCAAACTAGCGTCAGGGATACACCGCCCGGGGTCTCACACATCGCGTATACTAAGACGCCGGCGGGGGAATACTACGATATCCCGATACCCTTTCCACCTAAACCATCTTCTCCTGGATCGGGCAGCCAACCAGCTCCTCATATGTCTCCACGGGGTTCCCACCCGTTTCGTTGACTCTCAGCTGCATCATGCACCCTTTAGACTATTATGTGATGAGCACCTCGTGAGAAGGGACCAAGGGGGTGGACATCCTCCGATGACAACTTGTATGACTGCACTACTGCTGCCGAGGTACATCAACGACAAGAACTTCAGCTTCTACCGAACCGATCCCCTCGTGACCCGGATGAGTCTGCCAATCGACGACATGCAGCACCCGAACCGAGCCCGCGAGAGCTCCCATGCGGAGGATAAGGCGGGAAAATACTCTAACGAGGAACGAGAACCCCTCCGGCATAGGGTTCTCTTTGTTGTCTTC